CTTATCATGCCCTATAAAAAATTAAAAGGACTGACTGACTGAGTCAAGTTTACAAATAGCAAACACGAATAGACAAGCGAAATGCCTTCATTACATATGAATATATTCACCATCCTTCGTCAATTGAGATATTTCTTAGCCGGATGACAATGCTTGTTGTCCAGGAAAGTGATCATCCCCTCATCATCGAACCTAAGTTTGGCCTTGCAATTCGCACTGCGTGTTGAGCACCTCCAGTAGGTCGTTCTCATTTTCGAAAACGTATAACCACCAATTAAAATCATATCCTTCCCACGCTGAGATTTGACAAATTGATAACTGGCGACTGGTAAAAACGAAACATTTCAAAAGGTTAAAGTGTCTTACGGTGCGGTCAGACTATATTTTTTATTTTTTTATTTTATTCGGAAAACGTGCAGTGTTTTTTTAACAGCAATTATAACTAAATGTAAATCTAGACACCATTAACACGTTTTCGCATATGACTAACAATACAAAGCTCGTCGCTGAAACCATACAAGCAGTGTTAAGTGAAAAATACAGGAAAGTAATAAGACTAGAGATAATTGAGATATAACAGCAAGCGACGCTTAAAGCATGCATTAATTAAGCTAGGCAGTTTCAGAATCAGCAAACCAAGAACTGACTAAGATATTTTTAAGTATTTGTGGTTTAGTTATAAATAAGTCAAGTTGGGGGAAAGTTACTAGTTTGTTAATTTCTTTAGCAGACCTTACGAAAAAAGAGTTTTGATCAACAGTAATTATATACTGACAGAACTGATAAACACATATATTTATTATTTAAAGGTCTGAATTGATAAGAATTATTCCCTGTGACTGTGGAAAGTAACCGACGTGTTTTTTTACATGCATATGTTAAACTGTGCATGTATGATGCATATTCCCCCGCAAAAAATAGTAGAATTAGTTGAATAGTACATATTATATCGCTATGGCTACTCCCTTTCGTGATGCTATATTACGGTCCGACCACGCAAGGCCCCGAACGACGTTCCACAAAATAGATAGACAGAAGGTAATCTACATACGAAGTGTGCTCGCACAACGCATATATAGACACCGCTCACGAGTGTTTACCTAAAGCAGCGCTGCGTCGTTCATCCCTCCCTGGGGGACGATCGCTTCCGATGAAGCCTTAGAGGCCTTTCCAGCCAGAGGAAGCCCCTACGGGTGTTTTTTATTCAGTACGATTCTGACATAACCTTGCAGCCGGCTGTAGGGTATCCATGAGGATTTCTTAAACGCTCCCCCGCCTGGGAGGAAACAAAAAAACGAGCCAGCCTTACAGTAGTCGCGTATGATGTGTAATATTTGAAACCTTACCTTATATTAGTAAAAAAGAAATAAAATCTACGACAAAAGGAATAAGCTATTTGAACATTATGTTCTAAAAATTAAATAGCCCGCGCTTTCGCGACTTCCTGTTACACACTCCGTCCCATTTCACGAAATCACTCCCACAAATTGCAGAAAAGCGAGAGGAAAGATGTTACACATCAAAAAAAAAGGACGCGATATGCGATCTGAGCCGCTTGGGAACAGTACGAGCATGAGTTTCATTCGCTAGTTATTATTGGTTTATATAATTCAACACACGTACAAGTACGTACAACGTATGATCACTACTACGGTAATTGGTCTACTACCCGTTGGACCCTCAAGATTCGACCCAAAAGCAAAAAGTGCCCATTGGACCTCTTTTTTGGTGTCCGTTTGACCTTCTTAAAAAGTTTGCACACAAGCCAAATTCTAGCGCGACCGCCGAGCATAATTTTATAAAGTGAAGTACATACATGAGATTACCTTCTATACTTTGTATTTTGTAAACGTGTGGTGCTTACGTTTATGTCCAAATACTTCTCATGCCGCATACATCGCAAAGAAAAAGCCGCCATGCGTCATGACTCATGACTCTTATTTTAGTATGCATATTTTTCCTTAGTTTGAGTTGTGTATCAAAACACACTTAGAAATATTGTTTTTTACTTGTAATTCGTAGAAATGCGGAAAATAAAAACTTGTTTCCCTAGTGGTAAGAAATATAATATAGAGCGTCAATAGTATAAATAAAAAATTGTGAACACATAAACTCCAGCTCAATTATATATATTTGCATCAAATATAAGTGAACTTTATTAGTTATTCAATTTCAAAAGTAAAATTCTTAAATTTTCTGGTGCCATGATTGTGCTTCTCGGGAGCGTAAATTATTTTCCCTTGATGGTTTAACGAAATTTTCTCTTTACAAGCCGGATAATGGCTTGAACATTGCCACTTATAGGGGCTGAATTTGCAATACGTATATCCGTTAACATATATAAGATCTTTTCCTCTCTGCGATTTAACTATGCGGTAAGGAATATCTGAAACACAAAATATATTATCAGCTACTTTTATTTCTGAAATAAGTACACGAAAAATAATTAAAACTTTCAGTGGCTATTCTTTTAGAACCACGATTAAAAATTTAATAAGTCCGCCTAATACCACATTCCAAACTACTTTGACCCAAGAAATCTGAATTGATGTGGTAAGAATCACTGTTGGCTCATGCTCGTTGTAATAAACATACTAGGTCACTCATATATCCGAAGAATCCTTTATATCCTTTATAATATTCGTAATTTTGGGCAGTCGAATACTTGGGAAACCCTATGTGTACTAATTGTGTAAGTATCGAGTTTAAATTTCGAGCGTACCATTTGCAATGACAGTTACGTCAAATACAAAGCGCCACCTACTGGTGGTAGCAAGCACTACGGTTTCCGTTGAGAGCAAGAGTAATTCGAAAACGATCAACGGCGGAATATCACTTTCGATCTTCTGCATCCTCGATTCGTCTCAGTTAGTTTAAATGTACTGATCAGCATTAACATGGTTTTCACGAACATCTACAGCGAAAATTCCGTGGTCGGACTCCATCTACATACCGTTCTTCGCCTTTCGTCACCTGGTGCCTTCTTCCAAGAAGTCGTCTACTCATATCATGGTACGTGGTGCTTTGTTAAGTGTTTAACGCCGTTATTGCAAACCCACGGTTCTCGGTCGTTAGCGACAAAACTCGGGATTCCTTCCAAGTAATCTTCCCTGGATGTATGAGACATCCACCTTCCCACGGTCTCATGCATCTTATATCGACGACCTATACTAACTGTACCATTCTCTTCTTTCAACTCAACCATCTTTCTTAGTTAAAGTTTTTTTTTTGTTTTTTTTTATCTAATTTTCGGACACGCGTCTCCACTCGCACTCTCTCTTTATGAATGTGTTCCCCCACTGGCTATGACGTGTAAAAGACGATCCGAGTCGCGCAATTGGCCTTTCGACTTCGTTTTCCTTCTGAGATGTGATATCCTTTACTTTATTTTAGTTAGTATACTTTTTATGCTAGCCAGCAGCAAATACCTCAACCCCAACTCACCTGATGTTAACATGAAGTTCAAGTGTAGTCTAGTTGCCATAATAACCGAAGAAACAGAAAGGTGTACCACTCCAGCCATCCCTCTGCTCTAAACCCAATCACAACCCTTGTGAGCCCTGGAATTATTCGCCCAACGGTATAAAACAACTGAAAAGTAATACTATTTTACTGAGGTGACCAATCCAGGCGGGGGAGGCAATTGTAGTGTAAACTTTCGAAAATATTTTTTTTACAACATCACATTAAGTGAAGATGCGTCCAAATTATTTAACAGTTATACAGATTATTATTTATCACATCGACGTAATCAAATAACGTAAGAGTCATGTAACATGATCTAACATTGTTCGTCCACACTAAACTGGTATCTAACACGTTAATTCAATATTAATTTATAACATTTTTGTTACATAGTCTAGACGCACTTTAGTCGGATCAATAAAGTGAAAATCCGTAGAAGAATTATTAGAGCAAGATCTGTACAGGAATTAAAAGATTGAACGATTCACCAAGCTGAAGTAGCAATAGACTAGGCGCACGTTCGACAGTCCAAATGACGTCGGGGTCCAGAGGTACTTGTAAGCTAACACGCTTATAATCCTCGTGCAGGCAGACCACCTAAACTGGGTTTATAAGGGGGTCTGTCTGTACTGGATGCATTGGCGTGTATTCCTGAAAAAGACTTTGTCCTGCTGGACAAAGTTGGTTTCCACTGCTGTTGACAATCATCGACTGAGAATGATGACGGCGATGATGAGCTAAGATACAGAAGTAAGAAACCCAACTTACTAGTCTACGTTGGTGTCTACAGTCTGATTGTAATTTGTACAGGAGAAAACAACCAGTAGTTTATCACGCTCACAATTTCCCATAGCAACACGCGTTAGAAACTACATAATATTTAATTTTAGTAGTTACAAAAATATCACACTGAAGGGACACACCAAGGTTGTTATTGTTACTTTCCTTACGATAGAAATTGAAAGAGTCTTTACTTCAATTGGATTTATTCACCATATTTCAAGGTTCTTTCCTTTAAATTACAAAAACGACAGTAGTAGTTTTTTATGTCGTAAATCAGTCGGTTCAACTATGTTATTTTATATGTTATCATCAAATTAATGTGATTATTCTATTGTCTTTGATTTTTAAAAAAAGAAACAAATTGAGACACTTAGATTGATACAAATTGAAATAAAATCCTCCTTGAAAAAAGTTAAGGAATAATCATGAAACACTAAATTTTCTATAAGTTAAGATTAAAACTACCTAATACCCATTAAAATTAGGATTACAATAAAAATTATAACATGTTTTAAAGATGGTCATGGGAGAAATCACCATGAATGTCTAAAATTAAATTACTTAAAAAACTTAAAATTAAAAAACCAAGAAAATACAGAAAAACTTTAAAATTTGTAAATTTTTTGAAGATGTTTGTAATGTTTCTGACTGTAGATATGAGTGAATGATTTTGATTCAGTTCTCAGAATCACACTGCGTTCTCTTCCTTCTTCTAAAATAAATCAAGACCATCACACGCATGTAGTGTACGTTCACTTCACTTTGTCAATCACAATACCTGCAAAAAACAGACAAAATAAGGGTGACATAACAAAATTACCAATTATTAAAAAAACTTCTTCAAGAACTTAATTCGAATTCGTGGCAATGGCAGCAGTTTCCACTCATTTTAAGGAAAATAATATTGCACGATTCAAAAGAGATTTCAATCAGCCAATATGAATAAATTATGTAATTGTTTCCGGACCGAAACAGAGCGTACTCCTTCCTTAAAGGCCGGCATCGCATTTGTGATACTCCTGGTGTAACAGGTGATCACTTACCATCAGGTTAGCCGTCTGCCCATATGCTAATATATATAAAAAAGTATAATTTTATTTCGACCATAAAATATGCTAATAAAACAGATGTGGCAATCGGAAGTAGGGATGAAACGATACGAGTAAATACAAGTAACTACTCGATACTTTTCTTTCAATACCAAGTACTTTTGGCATCGATTCTTTAGAAATGAGTAACAAGTAGTATCGTGAAATAAGTACTTGTATCGGTACTCGGTCGGTCACTCACTGAGAAGTATTAAAAAAATTCATAGGCTGATTATTTACTCTATGGCTTACCATAGAGAACACCTTAGTGTCTACTTGGAATTTTTGTTTCGCGAACGTATCTTTTCTACTGCTCAGTTGGCAGCTTTGCGTATGATTTATATTTATTCCAATTAATTCAGTCGGTCGTTCGTTCATTGCGTGGTATGAGCCTTGGTATCGTTCGTCAAAATTTATCGATACAAGTATATTTTTCATTCGATACCGAGTAGGCATCGATACTTTATGACCGATACAGTATCGAGTAAAAGTATCGATACCTAGATAGTATCGTTTCATCCCTAATCGGAGGTAGAGTCGCTATTGGACTTTGTCTCTTACAATCACAGGGAAGATATGTGTCCCAGCAAAGGGCTTATTAATAGGCTGATGATGAAAAGTGATATCAGTTTCAAATCTGTAATTAACTTAATTCTAAAATTGAAATCCAATGCCCATTTTACCCCAACATAAACTTCAGCGAATATTAGCAAAGAGATGTTCAAGCTTAATGAACATGAAAGTTCCAAGATGCTCTTAACTTAGGCGACTCCGCAGTGAATAGAGAATGCAATGTTCATCAAGCAAAATTTGTCTTAGTTATACTAATTTATTAAAATAGCAAACCTACAAATACGACAAAATAAAGTAGATTAATATTGTGTAGTGAGAATTTTTTGAATGTGTTCCGAGAGTTATGCGCTGCTTCGCTGTCATAAAATGTTAACGTTTGATTTGATACTTAAGAATGAATTCAATGTAATTAAGAATGAGTTTAGGAAGTTTACTTTGTGCAGACCGCCATTTAGGCCCGTATTATAGAAAGATACTCTGTGATTGATCTAGTCTCGAGCATAGTTAGAAAGGGATGTCTCTATATATAGCACATAGCGATATCCCTTTCTAACTGTACTCAAGTAAAGATCAAGACTTAGTTGTCATTCTGTAATGCGGACCGTAGTCTACAAGATTTATATGAGCTAGCATTCATATTCGATAGTTCTTTAGGAGTAGCAAAGTAAATAGGACAAATAATCTATATTAAGTATCAAATTTACCTTTTTTTAATTTGAAGAAGTACTATTTCGCACGATGATAGGTTCCGTCTTTTGATTTCTTGTATTTCCTTGGTGCATGGCAATGTTTGTTGTTGAAATTAAAAATAAAACCATCCTTAATCTGGAACTTCGCCCTACAGTTTGGATTCTTGGTAGAGCAAACCCAAAGCGATGAATGGCCGTTGTTAGTAAATGTGTATCCTCCAAGCAATATAAGATCCTTGCCCTTTTGTGATTTCGCTGTTTGAATGGTAATTTCTGAAAGCAATATTAATGAATCAGTTGTTGGGTTGATGAATATTAAATTTTGCGATATAAAGATACAATTTAAAGAAACATTTAATATTTTTTATTTATACAGGTCTACATAGGTACATAATAAGGAACAATAAATAAAACATGATTCAAATTTGGAAATATTTTATTTTCTTTTAATGAAAAGCGGGTGCCCCGTACTCTTACCAGTGTTAGGCTCTACTGAGTAGAGTACGGGGCACCCGTTTCACTCTCCTTATTTCTTTCCCTTTCTTCTTTGACTAATTGTAAAATGTTCACTTACCAAATCGACTACGTTACAACTGGGACCTTTAAAGAAACCAGGTGGAACGTATACTGAAACAGAAACTGAAGACATTGGAGCTCTTCACACTTCTCTGGATCAGTAGTGGCAGCTGAAGCCACCTTAAGGGCTGGTCCTTACAACTGCCTCTCCAGGCCTATAAATGAAGTCTGTAGAAGAGCAGCAAGGGTAATCAGACTAAACAAGGTTGAATGTGCAGTAACTCATTCAAACCCTTCAAATATGCTGGCGAGAACGAAATCCTTTCTTTTTTATAGATAGGTTCGACAAATGACTCCACCCCACCTGATGCTAAGTGACGGTGAAGTCCAGACGTGAAGTCCTTTAAGCTATTTGCAAAAACGTAAAGATGTCCTAGAAGAATCACTAATAGAAGGTTACATGCAAAAAAGGAACGCAGAATTCAGTGCTATTGTAAGAGCCTTTACCTGACACTGCAAAATCAACACCAATTTCATATGAAATCAAGTAACACTGATGTTTGCAGTTTGCAATTACTGCAATCAGGAGCGTGAGTCACCAAAACATAAACGTAACACCAAAAGCTAATGTGGGCCTCTTATCGACAAACGTAGTATTCATCGGGAACGATATATAATACGCCCAGTGGAAATCAAATCTCTATAAGTTAAAACGTTTTAGCCCCTTGGAAGCTGTCGGGCTAAAAGAGATATTTGGTGGCGATTAACAAATTCACAATAGATGTTTTAAGGTCGCAGTGACGACAGTTTCAATACGGCTCCAAAAATATGAAATAATAACAATAATTCTAAAATGCTTTAAAAAGTTTGAAAACCAATTCCGTCATGCCTTTAAAAAGAATTTTTATTATCAGTCCAGGTGTTAATTCACTATATGTAAATGTTTCTTGTAAGTATCAACATTCATAATTATTCATAACCCACTATTGTATAGAACAACTGTATGGTACTTTTAGCTGATCAACCCTACCTAGCAGCCAAAACCTTATTAATAAAAAAATATTTCTGTCCAGCAGAAATCTTGTAGAAGCAACAACAATTAATCGGAGTAATTATTTATATTAAAGGCCATTAAAATTGAAATATAAATACTAGAATAGCATCGGAATCCCAATATCGGTAAGTTCTACTGAATTTCTTATCTATCATATTATTTCATATGCATACAATAAAACAGTACAATTATTTCATCACCAATCACAGAGACAGGTGCCCCCTGGGCGTTGTTTTTGCTGAGCCAAAGTAATGATCGTGTATTCAGCTTTGGATTTTAACACAGTTTTTGGTACCGAAACACAAAGTCACAAATATATTTGCTTACTCATATGTTGTTAACCATATTTATTAGCAGAATCGACGCTTGTTCTTTAGTAGTAATTTACTATATTCTGATATATTTACCATCATCACATTTCAAGTATTTCTTAGGTGGATGACAATGTTCGTTGCATAACTTCACGATTTTACCGTCTTGTAAACGTAATCTCGCAAAGCATTTGGGATTTTTTGTGGAACAAACCCAACTGTTGTTGCAGTTAACAACTTGTGAAAATGTGAATCCGTCAATAAGTATAAGGTCCTTGCCTTTCTGCGATGTCACAATATCGTACCCGAATTCTGAAAAATAAACACCAATAACTATTCGACACTTAATGTTTTCTTCCGAAAAGCATTATTATGGTACATGTTACTATGTATAAATTAACATAAGGTTAACCCGTAGATAAATGATTGGTCTCGCTAAAGCGACCTATCATTTATCTATAGGTTTAACAGTAAGAGTTCTGTAAGAAGTTTCTGTGATGCTATTTTGTTTCTCTGTCTTGGTGAGATGAGAAGCAATGGAATGGAATATTCATGTAATTCAAATAATACTTAATTAAAAAACTATTTCTTTTGTCTCCTCCGTCCTCCATCATTATTTTTTTTGCAAAAAATAATTCTTAATGAGTAGTGAGAAAATCTTGTGGGAGAATTCAAATATCTGAAACGCGACAGAGCGGTTGTGCTTGTGACATGGAAATTCATTACAACAAATCAACAAACAAGCGCCATGTTCAAAGGTTACCGAGACCTAGCTAGAGTGCGCGCACCTACATCTTATCTAGCTGTCAATTTGACTGTTTTGTTGATACAAACTAGGACGTCACACAAGGTGCTCTAAAATAACGAGTGTTTGAAATTCCACATTATACTAATTTTTCTACGTTGAATATTTTTATGCTATAAAATAAGGGGATGTAAACTACAAAATAAAAAAAAAATATATAAAAAATCATTACTGGATACAGCCTACTTCAATCGTATCAGGATTTATTTGATCGTAGTTAGTTTGACTTATTGTTTTGTTAAAATTAGATTAGAACAGCGAGTTACCAAAACTAAGCACGAGATGAGCCAACGAAATAAGCATGCGGCGGCAAAGAACCAGTAATAAAATAATGTATTTTTACAGTAAAAAAAAACACAACAGTAATCAAACCTATTTTTAACTAGTTCATATACACTTCTGCCCTCTTTGAACCCCTTAAATGGTGATTTCTAGGATAAAATCTATCCTATGTCCTTTCCTGGAACTCAAACTATATCTATACCAAATTTCATCCGAATCCGTCTAGCGGTTTAAGAAGAGATAAAAGACAGACAGATACACTTTCGCATTAATAATATTAATATGGATGTTAACGACTTTATACACCAATCCACCACCAGAGAATCATGTCATAATCGACACCAATATCACTTGTTGTTACAATCCCATAGTAACTCTAGGGGAGGGTACCGTTGTAGCTTAGATAATATTGAAAATATCACACTTGGTAGTAAAAATAAAACAGTTACTAAATAAATACTTTAATTACTAAGAGATCTCGCGTGCTCGTCATCCAAGACTAATATTAACTATCCATTTGTCTAAGCGAATAAATGCTCCAATCATCTCGATCACTTAAAGTATGTAATGCGAATATAATACCAACTAAGAAATAGCTGCGCGCTGGTTCAAATTTGTGTGCACTCACTTATCAGCTGGCCGCTACTATTAATAATTTGATTGTTTAAATTTTAATATAACCCTGGGATGTGAACAAATATTTAGGCGGTGGGTGTTGATGTTCTGTCTGCGCATTCGCTATTCCGCCCATCTCATCAAGCTTCACGCGTGCTCTGCAACCACTATCTTTCTTAGAACAGTAGTAGTTCCTTGAATCCTTCATCTGAGAATATGTGTAGCCTTCAATCATGAGCAAATGTTTCCCGCGCTTTGAAGGTATCATGGTATATTTATATTTCTTCTTAAATGTTTCGGCTGTAATGTTTTAAAATCAAATTGAATATGGGTTTGCAACATACAAGTTTTAACATGCGAAGGGATATTAGTAAAAAAAACAGACTTGGGAGTTCATTACGGAATAAATAATTTTATTTTTAATATAAATCATATTATGATTTTGTTTCAACTTGAGCTAGCAGCAGCAGCTACCTTCTTTCCACGACTTTTACCAAATCCTAGCTTCGGTGCCTAGCCCCTGAGCGTGATCCCGAGCGTGGTTGCCATTCGAGATCAATTCCGACCTAACGGCCATCTTCTTACCTTCTTGCTAATCAAATATTTCATTACATTACACTTACATTGGATTACCATGCGTTAAGCTCCATTTTACCCGTCTTTTGTCTACAGGGTAGTCGCCACGTAGACCACGCGAGGACTTTTAGGAACCGATACTAATTCTATCAGTGACAAGCAAGCTATCAGCGGTGCTATCGTGCATGTCTGATAGATTTGGGTTCCCATTTACTACTTGGGTTGGCATGGCAATATTTATTTGATTAGAGATAAAAGGTTTATTATTTTTGGCTATTTAGTATTTTCGGCGGTTAAGTTTTTTGTTAGAAAGTTCTTTGGTTGAAGATGTATTATGGAAAGAGATTTCATTAAATAATAAAACTTTGTTGTACTTCTAAATTTTAATATTAACCTCAATTTGGCTGCGTATCAATATTCGTTCTGATCGTAATTTCATTGTTTTCTTGTATGTCTTCATAGTCAGTACTTTCTTCATTTTCATCACGCGAATCACTAAAATAATTAGTTTTATCCCCATCTTTAATTTCTTCCTCTTTCGACGTTCCAGAAGATTCAGACACATCTAAATTTTCCTCCAGGCTCACCATTTCATCAGATCTTTCTTTTTGGTTCGTCTGACCAGACATGTTTGCCGTACATCCTTTCATAAAAATAGTTGAATGTTTATTCTTAATATGACGTGTCATATTGCTATATGATCCTGGGCTACATTTCACGATTTTTGAACAAAGCAGACATTGCTTACTTCGCTCATCGATGTTTTTCATGTATTCTTTAACCCAGCCCCATCTGTTAAGTGCTGAAAAATACGTTATTAAATTATTATACCAAGCTAAAACAAAAAAAAACGATTTTAAATGCTGCTACTTACTCCTTTTAGTAATCAAAACTGCGATAGAATCATTGAAGTCGCGAGTTCCAGTATTTAAATCTTCTGAATTTTTATTAGTATTGTCAATATCTTTACTGTCGGTTTCTCTTACTGTTAATGGTTCATGCTTATCATCAGAAGTAGTTAAATAATCTATTTCATGTAATAATTTTTCATCTTCAATGTATTCCAATATGTAAATTTCTTCTTTGTTACTTTTATTGTCGATATCCGAAAGCGTCTGTTCTTTTTTGTAAATATTAGGATGGCGCAATTTTATATGACGTTTAAAATTATACCAACCATTTGATAAACGTAATACAGCACTACAAATCAAGCATTTACATTTCTTTTCACCGATTGACTCACAGTATTTTCTTTCCCATTGTAAATTACCTGAAACAAAAAGTCAATCAAACGAGGTTATACCAAGAAATTATATCAAGCAAGTCCATTTTAAGTTTTGTGAAAATAAATATTTTCATAAAACCGCATAAAAATATGACCCGAGGCATGTGGGGCCCAATCTTACTCAGTAACAGGAACTAAACATCGTTATGATCTTGTGGTTTGCTCAGGGACAAATTAACCCTAGGACTAAAAGGACTATGACGCAAGGAAGCAGGCTGCATGAGGCGGCAGAATCTGTAATGTAACTGACCTATATTTTTATTTCAAATATTAAATACTATTGTAAGAAAAAAATCCATTTAATTTAATGTAAAGATAAATATGTTGCATCATATTTTAAAATGAGCCTCTGAGTGTTCCATAAGGTTAGCGATAACTTTCTTAAACGAAGGCTGCATTTAATCGCAAATTATTGAAGATGAAAAATTCTAAGCTTTACTTTTTTTTTATTTGGGTGGACTTCTGATGCTAATAAATAATTGATAGAATGTGTGACTTAATTGTTTTAAAAAAAATACTAATACCTAATAAGGTGTATGAATTTCCACTTGATCTGAATACCAAGCAAATGAATATTACAATGCGTCCTTTTCGTTTCTTATTTCGAATAAAATCTTGGTGTGATCCTTATTTGGACTATGCATAATTTTTATTGTGTATGATTTAAGTCCTTATGATTTAGTTCTGACGTGGTTAACCATACCGGTAATAGCAACTTATACTATTATTATATGTTATTTTGCTGAACATGTCTTCTTCTGCTTTTAACAAACATATACTAGTGTAAGCATGCGTCTAGATAATATCAGAACGAATTATACACTAATTATCGAACTTGTTCAAACTACATATGAAAATTTTATGTTTTGCAAAAGTATGCTTACTTTTAACAATGATTTACACGCTTATAAACTAAGATTTCAGTAAAAGTATAAATATTATAAGACGGAACATCAAAGCACCTACTTCCACAAAAAAACCTCTTTAAATGTAATTTTAATTTTCCATCACATGCTCTATTACTCTAGACATAAAAGTGAAAGTAAACAAAAATTATCATTTACAATTTTATTTTATTTATTCTTTATCTAATTCTAAAACGTTAAATTAAATTTATTAAATTTTAGCGCATTCTAACTATCGTTAGTAGATTTTGCATTCTCTAATTCAGAAATACAATGTAAAAGTTCTTTTTTGTAAATATGTTCATGTTTGGCTCTAATATGTCGTTTCATGTTGCCGTAAATTCCTGGTCGCATTTTTATTACTGTAGAACATATTGAACATTGCCATTTTTCAAAATCAATTTTCTCACAGTAATCTTTTACCCAGCCAGATCGCATAGCAATACCTGAAAAAACTCATAATATTAGTACCTGCCTACCTTTTCACTTGTAAAAAAAATCAAGTCATTTTTTTTTTGTTAGAAGACTAAAAGTTTAGTTTGGCGACCTCTGAGGCGTGAGTAGTATGTACACCGGTTTTTTAAGGTGTCGTCTACTCAGAGGTACTAGGTTCCAAGCCAGGTGGTCTAAGTCATGGCTGTTTATATCAAAAAAATTACCTAAATAAGTATCGTTATATGTATTTCTATCCGTCACCCTAGTATCCCATAACACAAGCTTTAAGGTGTCAAATCAAATCATCTTTATTGCGAATATAGGTTACAAAGTTGTTACACAAATACATTTTAGTACAGTACAGCCATATTCTGCCTTATCAGCATGCAATATAATATTTCTATAAATCATTAAGTATTTCAATGTCATATTAATAAATTAAACATAGTTTATTCAAAGTGTCCAGGTTATATGACATATTATTACACTTTTACTACATAACACGGCCACAGTCATGATCTTACATTGTTCGTCCGCTGTTCGAATACTTTTGTATTAATTTCATACAGTAATTTCTACTTTGAAGAAAAGATTTAAAAACCAGAGAACCAACATAACGAGAATCAAAGCGGTTGTGAGAAGAACTCAACGTAATTTAGTAAAAAAAGGGTTTACACGCTCATGGATTTTTTCAAGAAATAATTCATAGAATAGCAACCAAAATCAGACGGTTCATCAATCAATGTCTTAAAATCGCGATTTACAAAAAAAAATGTGTGTCAAAAACTAAACTTAATTTGTTTCAGTCACTGCTCAATACTGAAACGTTGCTACCCAAGTAAGTAATTAGTTTGGAATAACAATTGTTTTTTTAGGTCATGGGCTGCTTGCTCATCTTATGATTGAAGTGCTGATTTCATTTGCTACCAAAATTTCATAACTACAAACCCTTATTTACTTCTGTTGTACCAGTGATAGAAATACATGAGAACTTTTGTTAAAGAAAACACGCTACGCACGGTCGCAAACGCATAGATTTCTCTTTAACCATTTGTTCTTAGACTGCATTATATCGAGTATGACTGCGGGTTTCTGTTTGTGATGTTTGCAAGTCGTACCCAAGCTATGTAGACTTTTTTATTTGGTTAGCGTTAATGTTCTTAATATTAATACTGTTATATATGCTTACCTACTTTTTTGATCAAAATTTACCTGATTTTGGCAGTATATTAACATCTGGATTGGTAGTAATTTCAATGTTTTCCTGTATGTCATCACAATCTAAACCTTTCTCATTTTCGCTTTGCGAATCACTTAGTTTTTTACTTTTTTCTCCACCTTTACTGTGTTGCTCTATTAAAGTAATAGCAGATTCAGGTGTATTAAATTTTTCCTGCTGGCTTTCTGCATTATCGGAATTTTCGCCTTGGCTCTTCTTAGGCATATTTGCCATATATTCTTTCATAAAAACACTCCTATGTTTACTTCTTATATGGCGTGTCATATTACCGTATGTTCCTGGAGGTAATTGTAAGACGCTTGAGCAAAGCAAGCATTGTTTTCTTCGCTCGTCGATGTTTCGCATAAATTTTTTTACCCATCCCCATTTGCTAGGTGCTAAAAAACGGTGTAATAAAACTATTACTTTTTCACAGTTTAAAAACAAACAAGCGATAATAACTTACTTACTCATTTTGGAAACCAAAACTGCGACGGATTCTTGATCATCTTTAGCTTCAGTGTTGAAATCATGCGAGTTATTTTTATCAGAGCTGTATTCATCTTCGCTGTCAGAGTCTTTTTCCGAGACGTTTTGGGGTTCATGCTTATCATTGGAAGTAGTAATATAATCTACTTCATCTAATAACTTTTCATCTTCAATATATTCCAAGATGTAAATTTCTTCTTTATTACTTATTTTGTCGACAGTTGAAGACGTCAGCCCTAACTTCTCTTTTACGTAAATATGAGGATGTCGCCTTCTTATGTGACGTTTAAAATTTCCATAGTGAGCTTTACGTAAACTCAAAACCATATTACAGATCAAGCATTTATATTTATTTTCCATGATGTTCTTACAATACTTCCTTTCCCATAGGAAATTACCTACAACAATATATAATTTTTAAAACCTTAAATTTATAGTGAAAATTCAAAACATTAATGTTGTATAAATAAACCTTTTAACAATACCATGAAATAACATCGATATATAACAAAAAACAGAAAATAAGATCAGAATAAGGAAAAACAGGTGTATAATAATTTATTTGACACTTTTAATTGCATCACTTGCACGTTTAGTTGTATCAGCACCAGCTTAAATACCAGACTTGAGAAAATTGAATTTAAAAAATACCAATTCTGTGATTCTTATCATAATTAAAAAAACAACAATTCCAGTTAAGTTTAACAGATGATTTACTGGGTATAAATATTGTCCCACCTAGCATTTTAAGTTTAGTCCTATATGGTTTCGACGGTCTAGCTAAAAACAAATGTTACACTGAGCAAAAAGTTTTACGCAGTTTTGAAGCTTATTTTATTTATGAACCATCTTGGTCCTGTGTTTTTTAAATACATTGTTGCTGCTCAAGCTTACTTAATTATATTTTTTGCTATAGATAGTTGAAACTTATAACACTAAGTGGGCCGATAGATTTATCCAAAAGTGTATTACAGAAATTGTTAGTCCTTTATTTATTAAATATTCAAAATATCTGGAAAATCATAGAAGTAATTATTAGATTCGTCCACTTTCAAATGTGCCAATTGCAATATAGTAACCATGCGTAGGCATAATCAGTAAGATAAGTCACTACTTAAGGTAGTAAATTTTACTCTTAGCAAATGAAAAAGGCTCTAAGGCTACAAATTCTCCTTTCTTTACACAAAAAAAAAACAAGCGAGCCTTACAGTAGTCGCGTATGATGTGTAACATTTGAAACCTCACCTTATATTAGTAAAAAAGAAATAAAACCTACTACAAAAGGAATACGCCATTTGAACATTATGTTCTAAAATCAAATCAAATAGCCCGCGTTTTCGCGACTTCCTGTTACACACTTCCGTCCCATTTCACGAAATTACTCCCACAAATGCAGGAAAGCGAGAGGAAAGATGCAACACATCAAAAATCTCTTGACCACTGTTGGTTGCCACTTATTTACTCTTTGAATGATTATATCAACACATTGTCCAGCAGTGGGTGGTTATGTTCTGCATTCTTATAAGCAGTAGAAGTTTCTTGTAGCCTTTATCTGGGACATGTAGCCTTTCAACATGACTAATATTCTTCCAACGTTGTAACGGAGTTCCGATCGGGGGGCACGGCAGTGCCCCCGCCAAGGCGAGTGCGAAGCAAACACTGCCGTACCATCCTTTACTGGAACCATTTCGCCGCATTTTCAGGCCCCTATTTGAGAACCTCTGGATAAGACCAGAACGCAGAAATTTTTGTCATCCAGTAAGCTATAATCACATACTTAAAATCCAAATTACTCTTTCAAAAAATTTCAAGTCTGTAGGTCATTTAGTTCCGAAGTAAAGCGAAAGCAAAGTTACTTTAAAGTTTTTTCTCAATAATTTGTCTCGAAACATTCACATTATACAAGAATTATGCCCAGACTTAAGATTACAATAATTGTCATATATATATCGAATTCTCTAAATATTTTTTAATATATCTCTTTCATCACCATTCTTATTCTTATAAGCAAGCAGGACAATAAAAGACAGCAAATTTTGTTAACATCAACTCATTTAATTACATTATTCATAACTAGCTTTTATTTTCCATATAAAATAACATTGCCTAACCCTTTGACTGATCTCCGAAATTAAGCATAACTAACATATATACAGGAAGAGTTATCGCATTTATAATTTTTATTATATTACTGTGAAAGTATGCATTATCATTTATTATATATACAAATTACATTACAAATTCAACACATTTTACTAATCTTCTAAAATCGTTTTTACAGCGTCCGATTCAGAAACAAAGTGTAAAAGTTCTTTTTGGTAAATATTTGGATGTTTGTTTCTTATATGCCGTTTCATGTTACCGTAATATCCTGGTCGCATTCTTAATTCTGTCAGACATAGCGAGCATTGCCATTTTTCATCATCAAGTTTCTTAGAGTAATCTTTCACCCAGCAATAGCGCATAGGAATACCTGAAATTTAGTAACATTACCTTTAGCCAAGTAACGATATATATTAACAAATTTTATCCGTTAAAATGCCATGCCAGAAATAATTATAATAAAAAGAACTTGAGATTAATATATGCAATAAGAACAAGCTATTATTATATATTTATATATATATATATATATATATATATATATGTGTGTGCACATTAATAGCTTTTCTTTAGTTTTTAAATATAATGCGATAAGAGAAATTTATCAATACCGTATTTTATGCTTTATACTTTTCGGATGATCAATATGTACCTGAATATGGCTGGATATACATTTTTGAATTGGTCGTTATTTCAATGATTTCCTGTACGTCTTCACACTTCGTACTTTCTTCAGTTTCGTTACGCGAATCACTAAGATCTTTGTCATCATCTTCGTTTTCGTCTTCTTTTGAAGATATATTTATTTTTTCCTTCTGGCTCTCTGTATCGTCCGATTGTTTCTTTTGCCTCTTCTTGTTAGACCAGTTTGCTACAAATTCTTTCTCAAAAATATTTGCGTGTTTAGCTCTAATATGGCGAATCATATCCTTGTTTGATCCTGAAGCTAATCTTAAGACGCTAGAGCAAATCCGACATTGCTTACATCGGTCATTGATGTTTCGCATGTATTTTCTCACCCAACTCCATTTGTTAGAACCTAAAAAAAAACAAAATATTAAAAATTTATATTTCAAAGTATGACACTAACAAACCAACAATGCAAATACTTACACATTTTAGGAAACAAATCCGCGGTCGCTTCCGGATCATCATTAGCTTTAGTATCAAAATCATCCGAATCGTATTTATCAGGACTACCATCTCCTTCGCTGTCATCTTCTTGTGCAGTAAGTAAAGATTTGGATATATTTGATTTTTCCGTTTGGTTCTCCGTATCGTCTGATGTCTTCTCTTGACTTTTCTTTCTAGGCATATTTGCTATTCTATATTCTTTATTATAAACATTTAGATGTTTATTCTTAATATGACGTGTCATATTACTGTATGATCCTGGAGCTAGTCTCAAGACGTTTGAGCAAAGCAGACATTCCTTACTTCGCTCATCGATGGACCGCATGTATTTTTTTACCCAACTCCATCTGCGAGGAGCTAAAAATATGTCACAAAATATTATTTCTCAGTATGAAAAATATCAAATCTACAGTACAGTTACTTACTCGTTTTAGAAACCAAAATTGCAATTGCTTCCTGATCATCATTAGCTTCAGTGTTACAATTATCCGAGTCGTTTTTACTAAGACTGTCTTCATCTTCAGTATCGGCATCTTTTGATGTCACTTTTTGTGGTTCATTCTTATCATCAGTAGTTATATAATCTATTTCGTCTAAGATACTTTCGTCTTCGATATACTCTAATATGTAAACCTCTTCTTTATTACTAGATTTGTCGATATGAGAAGGTGGCAGTCGTAACTGTTCTTTTTCGAAAACGTGAGGATGTAACCTTTTCATGTGACGTTTAAAATTTCCATAACTACCTTTAGGGAAAGTCAATACACTATAACAAATCAAGCATTTGTATTTCTTTTCGCCGATGTTCTCACAGTACTTCCTTTCCCATCGAAAATTACCTAAAACCAAATTTCACTTAATTATTAAAAAATCCAAAAAACAAAAATTAAACCGAAATAAATAATAAGAGAAAACATATCATTACTATAATATTTTATGCTGTAACAGGATTTGCGATACGTTATGTTTAAAATAGTAATATTTTTTAAAGAAACAGGTACTAATATTGTCCCTTACAGTTATAGTCTTATCTTTTATTGTATTTTACGCAGAAAGTAAAAAAAAACGTGTAACTGTTTTACTATTTATTTGGTAGCACTTATTTCGAGAAATATTTTATAAATATACAAGGGCGTGGGCGACCACTCACTCATTTTTAGACACTGACTTGCGTGCATTTCTACACATCTCTGTTATTCACAAGGAAATTCCAATCTCAACTGAGTATAGAGCACTAAAGTATGAGGCTTCGTGTACCCATAATTAAAACTTTTACTCCCTACATTTATGTATATACGTCACCCTAGGCTATCGGATATATCGCCGTCCCCGGAGAATAAAGTGATAACTGCCATTATTTTAGTATTAGTTTTACATCATTTTTGTGATCTGTGGGTACTAATACACTTGCTCAATTTTTTATAAAGAAAATAATTTAGAATAACGAATTTAAATTAATTACTGCATAGTTATTCACGGAATTACAAAATATTACAATTATATTCAATGATTCTACCCATGTCAAAAAATACTAGAGTAAATCGCTACATTGTATAAAGCAAAGTCGCTTCCCGCTGTCTGTCTCTCCATATGTATGCTTCGATCTTTAAAACTACGCAACGAATTTTGATGCGATTTTTTTTAATAGATAGAGTGATTCAAGAGGAAAGTTTATATGTATAAACCATGCATAATATAGTAGAGAAACACTGATATTTTTAGAGGTTTTTAATGTAAGGTTGTAAATAAGCTCATTTTTTGAGCTTACATTGCAAACGCTGGCTGAACCCTACGAGATAGATCAAAATAATGTACTACAGTATTGTACACCATAAAAAGGTCTCCAAAAAAGTCCGCGATGGTATATGTCTATCTGTTAGAGATAACCTACAATAACCATTTTTTATCCTATACTTTTTACGAGAAATAATAGCTTATTTACGAAGCGATTTTCAGCAATATAAAATTCATCCTTATCCAATTAAGTACCTTAAATACATTGTGATTTAATGTATTTAAGGTAATAATATTTTTTATTTTCCAGTATAGCAAAGAAAGCTTGGACCTCGCGATTCAGGAAATTGGAGATGGGGAAAAAATAAGAGAAACTGCACGAAAATATGGGATACGACATAGCACTATTATAAACTAAATAAAGTCACGGACGCCGTTAATTCGAAAAATGGGGATAGATCCTCCTTGTATTGTGAATTCAAGGCGATTTTACAAAATTAAAGAAATGGCAAATTATTTGCCAAAAGCTTGAATGGACATTGTTAATATAAAAGTATGATTATCTAAGACCGTCCAAAGATAATTAATAAAAATAAGTTAAATAGATCCATAAAATATATACCTAAGGTAGGCTTTAAGTTTAATTAAAATGAAGATTTTATGAGAATGTTGTGATCTTATTAATATACTATATATATAATAATATATATTTTATTAAGTATGAATGTTCGTAAATATCCAAAGATTTAAAAGTTCATACTTTAACAGAAAACCTTTAAGCTTGTACTTAAAATAAAAACTTTATGACACTGTTTTAATGTTATTATTTACTTATAAATTATGTAGGTACAAAAATTGCTGCAATAAGAATAGAATTTTTAAATAATATGTAGTTTTATTTACATGGTCAACCACTAGAATATCCACCGGTCAAACAATGAAATCTTCTGGTCAAACTTAGAAAATATAGGGGTAAATTGACAAAAAAAATGTAACAATTTTTCTGTAAGAAAAGAAATAAAAGTTATTAGTTTACTGCATTACACATCTAAATGGGATGATACATAAAAATAATTAAGTTTGTATCTCATTTCATATTAGAGAAAAATAAAAATTTATATTAAAATCTGCCTTAATTGGTCAATTATACCCACGGTGACCCTAGTACTACTATTACAGATTTTTTTACTATTAATAGTTTATGTGTCTCTTACTAACCGGCGATTGCTTCCCGTTGTGATATCATTGATCACAGAGCCATCATTGTGTCGAAAAAAGAGAACATCTTTTCGTCAATACGATAACGTCGATCTCATGACGATAACATCGATCTCATGTTTCTTCATGGGGCTTCCTGAAGGATAAAGGGCATAGAGTAAACCAGTATAGGCCAGGCTTACCTTTGCTCAACTCCAAGTTGCCCTACTCTCAACTCATCTCTGCAAATGACTGCATCACTTCCTCAGCCTAGCATGGAAGTTCACATATCACTACTGTGAAGTAGCATTTGTAGATAATGCTTTAGAAATCTTATTTTATATTTTTTTATGCAAAATAGGCAATGCGTTTGACCACAATCTCACCTGATGGAAAGCGATGATGAGGCCTAGGATGGTACACGCCTGCCTAGAAGATGCCTGTTCACTCTGGCCTTGAAGATGTCCAGATTATATTGGTCCGGGAAAACAGACCTCGGCAAGGAGTTCCACTCCCTAGCCGTTCGTATAATGAAGGCCGAAGCAAATCGCTTCGTGCGAATGTGAGGAACTTCGACAACATAAGGGTGGAAGCCTTCGCCGCGCCTGGTCGTCCGGTGGTGGAAAGGGGAAGGGGGGATCAAATTATGTAATACCTCCGCACACTCTTCGAAATGTAACCGATAAAACACCGAGAGGCAAGCTGCACGTCTTCGGTGGTCTAGGCTCTGGAGATTAGCCACAACGAGAGCGTCACTGCCTATGAGTCTCTTCGAACGGTGTTCCACCGAGTCCAGTGCATCTAGCTGATACCAAGCAGATCCGTCCCAAAGGTGACAATAGTACTCCAAGCAGGAGCGAACTTGGGCTCGGTAAAGGTTAAGGAGCTGCTCAGATGTAAAATATCGCCTGACCTTAGAAAGTATTCCAAGTTTTCTGGCAGCAGTTTTAGCAATGGACTCGATGTAGCGACCGAAATTGAGACTGGATGAGATGTCCATACCCAAGAGCTCGAGATGGTCTTTAACCGGCACGGAGACATTTCGGAAAGTCGGAGTCAGATGGAATGGACTCCGTTTCGTCGAGAAGAGACAGGCCTGTGTTTTAGAGGGATTGAGTCCAACCAAGTTAGCTTCACCCCAGAGGGAAACAGCTTCCAGGGTTGCATTCACTCCCTCCACCATCGCCTCCCTTAATGATCGGACATCTGCATCAGACTTCACATCAGGCAGATATCTCTCCGAAACTGTGCTGTCGTCTGCATACCCAAAGATACCGGGAGTTAGGAGCAGATCATTGATGTGCAGCAAGAATAGAGTTGCGGAGAGGACAAATCCCTGGGGGACACCGGCATTAATACCAAGCAGATCCGACGATGTGCCATTAATGACTACTCGTATCGATCCGCCCCTCAGAAAATCTGCAATCCAGTTGCAAACTCCGACAGCGATTCCATATGAAGGAATCTTGCCAATGAGACTTGCATGCCAGACCCTGTCTAAAGCCTTAGAAATATCGAGAGAAACGACGAGAGCTTCGCCGCGTTTCTCTATGGCTTCACTCCATAAGTGGGTAGCATACACAAGAAGATCCCCAGTAGATCGCCCACGGCGGAAACCGAATTGGCAGTCATTGAGGAGATCGTTATCTTCGAGGTAAGCGAGGAGACGGTTGTTCAATACACGCTCCATAATCTTACAGAGTATGAGCGTGTATTGAGGTGATTGCAATAGGTGATAGTTGGCAGGGTCGGCACGACTACCCTTTTTGGGCACTGGTTGGACATTGGCAAGCTTCCAGGTTTTCGGAACTTGGCCAATCTCAAGGGATAAGCGATATAGGCGAGCCAGAAAAGTCATATAGCCTTTGTCAACTGAATGTATTAAGAACGAAGCACAAACCTGAATAATATTTAAGTATCTAGAATGATACTGATCGACACATTTCCGACAGTAATCATGATCTTGACAATGAACTGTTAGTTCTAAGTGTGCGCATGTTGTAGATGGTCAGGTCGAGTCTTCGTGGGTCTTAGGATCTTGAAGTACCGTGGGATTCTTAGCATCCCCTGCTCCGTGGTTACCATAATTATAACATGAGTAGGTACTTCAAGATGTATGCGTATTTTAGATCTCTTTCTTTACTTGTGTTTGTGCGAATAAAAAATACCAAATAAATTGAAATTAATTAATTGAATCTGAAATTAGCCATAAGGGAGTATTAATAAAAAAGTTTGACTAAATAAGTAAGTATTTGAAGAAACTATTGCTGTCACGTATTGGCAAATACCGTGCGATAGGGACAAAAGCAGTTAACGCTAAAAATTGCTAATTTGGATGTTTGGCTCTCGACGATTTTCTCCTCAAAAATTTGATACACGTATAAGAGATTACACAAAAAATAATAAGTAGCTATACTATGCCCCTATGTTTATATTTTTTTGGAAATGCTTATTAAATCTCCGTACTAGACGTCTATAATGGTGATAAATATTTGTATATTTTTGGTGGCCTTCTTCGAGGGCTTCTAGTTTCTTTGTAACACAAGTTACCGAAAAAAGGAAGACATTAGTGATAAAAATCAAGGAGAAATCAGGCGACAATGTTTGTATGGGATTTTGCTTTCATAATGATAATTTAAAAAGTAACGCTTTTGCGTTTATTGCTTAAAATAATATACATAGCTTATTTCGACCAAAGTGGCGGTTAAACGATTTTGTTTTTCCACTGTCGATAATATTAGCATATCTACTTTTATCACAAAATCAAATTTTTAAAATCAAAAAAGAATAAAAAGGTTTTACGATATACGAAAATAAAAAGATATTGAAGTATCATCAATTTCACTTGCACCTTTATAATCCATAGAATAAAAATACATGTCAGTGGTTTTGGCTCCCTGTCAATGCGAATTAAATGATAATCAACATTATACAAATTAAATTTTCATTAACTTTTTATTTTCTAAATATCTCCCTTATATCTTATTGTACGCATTCTTTACTAAAAAAATCTTATCACCTGTCTGCGTCCAGTATTTAAGGAGCATTTTTGCAGTTATCTTTTTATTCTCCGGGGACGGTGTTATATGAACTGCCCGCTTACTAGGGCATAGGCCGGCGACGCCCTTGTTTGTATAACATACATTTTAAATTTTAATATAATGTCCTGAGGCAGTGCGGAGGTAGTTAGGGGGTGGATGATCATGAATATTATCAGCCAGTATAACCCTGCCCGATTTGTTCAACTTAATACGAGCTTTACACCCTGTGTTCTTCTTCGAACAATAATAATTACACGTCATTGCATTTTGAGAAAAAGTGTGTCCATTTTTCATCATTAATAGTTGTTTTCCTTTCGTTGTTGGTATTAAACGGTACTCTAAATCTGTAAAAATATTTGATAATTACACATTTTAACAACAATACTTTCAGTAATCATTGCGAATAAATATGGAATAGTTCTTTTTAATAATTTTGTTTATTTCTCTATTCTATTCTCTATATGACTATAATGCCATATACGACATCTCCCTTTGTTTATCAAATCAAATCATTTTTTTTAATAAAATAGATACAGTTTAGTCTAAATCATAATCTCGAAATCTCACTGGCATTGAAACATGTCTTATAAGTCTCACACTCCTTTCTTGGCTGTTAATTTGATTATTAGAAGTCTAGGTAATTTCTAACATATCTGAACTAATATTACTATGTATTATTATTCCCTTCATTATTAATTGGAACAATATTATAACTACTTCTTATTTAATCTCTACAAGTTTTTGGAGAATTTGTGAGTACGTTATTTATTTTGTGTCAAATTAACGTTTCACCATCCAATCTGTTTGTGAACAACGCGACCTTTGCTTTTTCATTGAATTTATTTTCAATAGTATCTGCCACTACAAGGTAATTTTCAAATTTTTGTTTAAACATCCGCCATTTCCATAGATTGTTTGTTCTTCCATAATAGGGGTGTCGACAAAATAATGGACACGTATTTTTTCTTTGGTCAATCAACCAAAAAATAACAAAGATAAAGCGCGTCAAAGTTTGGAAGTGGTGGCTCGTCACTTTTAAGTACAAATTGTACCAAAACGTGAAGTCATGCGACTTTTCAAATCAATATACCTCTGTAATTCTGTGAAAAAAGAAAAAATACGTGTCCAATACTTTTTGGTAATCTACCTGATACACGAAGAAAAAAAAGTAAGTCGTCATCCCTATTATCGCCCAAAACCAGCGAAAGTTTCTCGGACGACAATAATGCCTCCATTTTATGTTTTTGCTCAATAGTTACTTATATAGGGCTACACACTCATTTTTTCATATATTATTTAGGTCCTTTATGTCTTCAGCGCCATGTTTTACTTTAATAAATAATAACACATTAATTTAAATCACCATGATTTTTATTAAGACCCAATAGGCCATAGATTAACACAGTGTTTCCATTACTATAATATTACCATAATCAACAAAAAGCAAAGCAGTGCCATTTCTTCACATATATTATAAGCAACGTAACAGTAACAACACACCTTACGAGTTCTTTACTAAAAAAATCTTATCATCTGTCTGCGTCCAGTATTTAAGGAGCAATCGGCAAAAATCAGTTTTTTTTTTTCCTGAAAACTTTCATTTTTGCAGTTATATTTTTATTCTCCGGGGACGGCGATATATAAACTGCCCGCCCACTAAGCCATACGCCGGCGACGCCCTTGTTCGTATAACATACATTTTAAATTTTAATATAATGTCCTGAGGCAGTGCGGAGGTAGTTAGGGGGTGGATGATCATGAATATTATCAGCCAGTATAACCCTGCCCGATTTGTTCAACTTTATACGAGCTTTACATCCTGTCTTCTTCTTCGAACAATAATAATTACACGTCATTGCATTTTGAGAAAAAGTGTGTCCATTTTTCATCATTAATAGTTGTTTTCCTTTCGATGTTGGTATTAAACGGTACTCCAAATCTGGAAAGATATTTGATAATTACACATTTTAACAGCAATATAATAATCATTGCGAATAAAGACGGAATAGTTCTTTTTAATAATTTTGTTTATTTCTCATAACACAATCTTTCTCATAAAAAAGAAACTTAAATATAACTAATATTAAAAAGTATAACTTTATGGTAGCCATCATTAACCAAGTTTCAATAAAATTTGTCAATAAAAGTGTTTTAGTTTAATAAATAATAACACATTAATTTGAATCACCATGATTTTTATTAAGACCCAATAGGCCATAGATTAACACAGTGTTGCCATGACTATAATGCTACCATATACAACATCTCCCTTTGTTTATCAAATCAAAGCAAATCATTTTTTTTAATAAATTAGATACAGTTTAGTCTAAATCATAATTTCGAAATCTCACTGGCATTGAAACATGTCTTATAGGTCTCCTTTCTTGGCTGTTAGTTTGATGATTAGAAGTCTATGTAATTTCGGACATATCTGAACTAATGTTACTGGTAACGCCAAAACATATTCTAGTCTCTAAATTTCATACCGTGTCATTCTCTTTTCGAATTAACCGCATCCCAATAGATCCTTCTCCTTCAAACACTGTGCCTTATGCTTATGAGGGAAGAAGACGCAATATATTTGCCTGCAACGACGGATGGCCGGAAGGAAATGGCTCTGTCAGCAGGCAGGCTGTGAGTACGTTATTTGTTTTGTGTCAAATTCGAATGTTTTTAAAAAAAATAACGTTTCATCATCCAATCTATTTATGAACAACGCGACCTTTGCTTTTTCATTGAATTTATTTTCCATAGTATCTGCCACAAGGTAATTTTCAAATTTTTGTTTAAACATCCGCCATTTCCATAGATTGTTTGTTCTTCCACAATAGGGGTGTCGACAAAATAATGGACACGTATTTTTTCTTTGATCAATCAACCAAAAAATAACAAAGATAAAGCGCGTCAAAGTTTTTGGAAGTGAGTAGAGTTGTTGGACAAGTTGGAATTGGCTCGTTACGTCACTTTTAAGTACAAATTGTACCAAAACGTGACGTCATGCGACTTTTCAAATCAATATATCTCTGTAATGTTTTGATTATGTGAAAAAAGAAAAAATACGTGTCCAATACTTTTTGGTAATCTACCTGATACACGAAGAAAAAAAAGTAAGTCGTCATCCCTATTATCGCCCAAACCCAGCGAAAGTTTCTCGGACGGCAATAATGACTCCATTTTATGTTTTTGCTCAATAGTTACTTATATAGTGCTACACACTCATTTTTTCATATATTATTTAGGTCCTTTATGTCTTCAGCGCCATGTTTTAGTTTAATAAATAATAACACATTAATTTAAATCACCATGATTTTTATTAAGACCCAATAGGCCATAGATTAACACAGTGTTTCCATTACTATAATGTTACCATAATCAACAAAAAGTAAAGCAGTGCCATTTCTTCACATATATTATAAGCAACGTAACAGTAACAACACACCTCTATATTTTTATCTCACAAAAAGTAAGCACTATAGGCTTATGTTGTGGTACACTAGAGTAACGGATAAATATATATATAAGTATAATTAATAAATTAAACATCCATGACTGGAATACAAATGCTCGTATTCATCACTCTTCTGGCCCCACCGGAATTCGAACCCTCTCGAATAGGCGACCTTGAAATAGCAAATGCACTTTTTTGTTTGTTAAACATCCAACTCCAATTGATTATGAGTATGGTTATCAAAAGAATGAAACAAAATTATGCGAACAATAGAAGAATGATCAAGATACCATAGGGAGGGTCGCTCGTTTGCCATCCTTATTGCGTAAAGAAAAAACGTGCATTGTGGACATTTTATTTTAAATAAAACACCTTATAACAAAAGTTATAATTTATTGGCTTCGCTAGTAGTTATCTTGTGAACACCGAAACGTGGACCCGAAACGTCAAGAAAAATGAAACCCATTGAAAGCGGTTTTATTTAATGATTAGATTGCGTGAAAATATAAGAAATAAATTTTAGTTTTTTATCATATTTTAATATACTGTCCGCTTGCGGTTAAGTGGTAGTCGGGCGGGGGGTGATTATGGTCACATTTTAACGATACGACCTTTCCTGCCGTGTCCAATTTCACACGAGCCTTACAATTAGCGTTCTTCTTTGAGCAGTAGTAATTGAGAGATTGCGCACTTTGAGAGTAAGTATGCCCATTCAACAAGATACGTTGCTTGCCTTTCCGTGTTGGTATTAACTGGTACACTGAAACATTTTTTTTTATTTAAATTAAAACTTAACGCTGTGAGCTTTTGAGTCTTATTCAACGTGAAATAACTTTTAAATGTATGCCAATTACATTTACTCCATAACAGCTATAAAACATTTAATAACATTGTATTTATTAAATTCCTCAAAGGCCAAAACAAGGCAACAACAAGAAGTAATGGGATAAGTTCTAGTGCTTTATTACGTAAAATACTGAAAGCCTTAAAACTGCGTACCAACTTATAGATAAGAAGGCTTAGATGTGAGGTCCCTGTTCACTCGTGATTTAAAAAGATCTATATTTTATATTATATCAAGGAACAGGGAAACCATTAGGAAATTCCATAATATAAGGTGTTCGCATTGACAAAATTTAGCATAGCGCTTGGTGTGGACTCGTGCAATGTAGGTACACTTACCGTAAAATGTTCTATGAAATAATAAATTGATCCTTTAAAAGAGACGTGAAAAAGCAACTTGCAGGCTGATAAGGTTATGACAAGGTACGATAAATTACTGGTGTGGCACTTGAAACTGTTGCACCAGCTGTCTTCGTGTCTGGACTCCAGGACCACTTAACATCAGGTTTGTTAAATTAAAATTACATTATCACATGTTATAATCATCAGTCGATGAGTCATCCCGTAAATTTAAATCAAACCTGTATCAGGAGTCTCTGAGTCTCTATAAGAGCTCTTTTACATCCGCACATATATAAATATATATATATTTATTATAGTTACAACCCGCTTTTTTCTAACTCGTTTTACGTTGGTGGTTTTAAATTCAGGCATAAATATTTAAAAATAAGCATATATTTTTCATAGTCACCTGACTGCCAAATACAATACTACTGTGCAATCACAAAATTTATTTGCAAGCCGTTACTAAATCGTGTATTCGCCTTCGGGATTTGTCGACATATTTTACGTCAGAGATAAGATCATCTAAAGAAACTGCCAATTCTCATTTAAGAATTAAGACTTTAATTAAGTGCTCATTAATTTAAGGTTAAGTGGTAGTCGGGGTTCATGATTATGGACACATTTTAATGATGCGACTTTTCCTGTCTCATCCAACTTCACTCGAGCTTTACAAGCAGCGTTCTTCTTTGAACAGTAGTAATTTCGAGT